TGTGTGACAAAGAAAAACAAACTACATCATTAGGACTTCCTTTCTCACAAAACATTTAAAAATGCTTATGTCATTGCATCATCTTAGTGAATAATATGAAATCTTTTCCAATTTGAAAATAAGGTAACGAAAGAGCTGATTACTATCAAATGGCTTGTTGTCAAGGTTGTTACTTTAAAAAGACAGAAGCAGATCTGATGCCCCTATTTTAACATGTTGAAGTTAAATTTGCAGTACTAGTGCTGTTACACTCATGACAATTTGAGGACAAGCAAAGTTTGCAGAGAAAGGAACAAACATTTTTGACCCAGTGTTGTCCTGCAGCATTTACACATTGGGAAATTTGTCTATTTTTCCCAACTAAATCAGATAGAAATTAAGTCACCATCCCTGGAGGTATTCAAAAAAACGTTTTGATGTTGTACTAAGGGCATGGTTTAGTGGGACAATAGTGGTGGAAGGTTGACAGTTTGACTAGATGACCTTGGAAGGCTTTTCTGACCCTGGCAATTCTATGATTCCATATTCATGTGAAGCACAAATATGAATGAAAACTGTCAACATTTTTCTGAAAACCTCTGAAACAACAGCAAGCAGAATGATTGAAAAATAAATATTTCAGAAATATTTCTCAGTGATAACCAGGAAAAAAAAAAATAATTTAGGAGGTTCATCTGAAATATTAAAAACAACTGTCGTTTAGACAGTGAGTTAGATAACCCATTACCTTCCCAGTGCTCACAGTTATATAATTTTACTCCATCCAGATTTTGGAACTTGTTATTAAAAACTTGTTATTAAATGAATTGGTTATGACCCTATGATTTCAAAGCAAACCCTTGGACTGTTATCTATCTGTCATAGCATCAAATCACCTTTGAGTCTCATGTCTACTTAGAAAACCTTCAGGAATAAACAAAATCATTTGTCTCCTTGAAAAACAAATAGGGTGTTCATTTACTGAGCTGTACCTGTAGATTATATATAATATATTTATCATTATATTATTATCATTATATATATGATATTCATTAGATAACATAATTGCAGAATATGTAGTTTCAAAAATGTACGCTATTTTTCTTTGTACTCCTGTTATTCATGATAGTTCAGAAGAAGGTAGTTACATGAAGCACACATTATCATTCATCTTACTTGGAACTTGACACATTTACCCACAGCTTACCACACCTGGTCCTGCTCTCATACACACCTCTCCCTGCCCCCTCATTTTCTCTAATCACTGCCAGAAGCAGACTGCAAAGACAAATGGCCAAATTTCAGTGGCCTGAATTCACATTCTACGTATATCAAATAATAAATGTTAGTCTTCATATACAAATTAGTTAGTATTTTAATCCCATTTGGAATAATAGGAAAAACTTCCTTACAGAAAGGGTTGTTAAGCATGGGAACAGGCTCCCCAGGGAGGTGGTTAAGTCACCATCCCTGGATGTGTTTAAAAACCTTTTGGATGTGGTGCTCAGGGACAGAGGGTTGTTAGTTAGGATAATATGGTTAGGTTGTGGTTGGACTTGATGATCTTCAAGGTCTTTTCCAACCTGAGAGATTCTATGATTCTATAATGTTCTGGATATTTCAGGAGCATAAATATGTTGATCTTCAGTATACAGAGGATTTAAGTCCAGTTTTCATTTTTCCAACATAAGGAGAAAAACAAAGGAAAATGGCTTGTATAAGTGCAATAGCCAACTGGCCATAGAATGGCTTGGGTTGAAAAGGACCTCAAAGATCATCAAGTTCCAACCCCCTGACACATGCATCCAACCTCCACATCTAATACTACACCAGGCTGCCCAGGGCCCCATCCAACCTGGCCTTGAATACCTCCAGGGACAGAGCACCCACAACCTCTCTGGTTCCCCTGACATCCAATCTAAATTTTTACTCCTTCAACTTAAAACCATTTCCCCTTGTCCTGCCATTATCTACCCTTGTAAAGAGTTGATTTCCCTCCTTTTTGTAGGCTCCCTTTAGGTACTGAAAAGCTGCACTGAGGTCACCCCACAGCCTTCTTTTCTCTAGGCTGAACAAGCCCTGCTCCCTCAGCCTGGCTTCATAGGGGAGGTGCTCCAGCCTCTTGATGGTCTTTCTGGCTCTCCTCTGGACCCTCTCCAACTGCTCCCTGTCTTTCTTGTACTGGGGGCTCCAGACTTGGACACAGTACTCCAGAGGGGGCCTCACAAGAGCAGACTAGAGAGGGACAATCACATCCCCATCCCTGCTGCCACCCCTCTTCTGATGGAGCCCTGGATTCCATTTGCTTTCCGAACTGCAAGAGCACACTGCTGGTTCATGTTACATTTTTCATCCACCAGGACTACTATGTCTGAAATCACTCTGCTTCTGTGCGCTATCACGAAAACACTACAGTTGCATGCCCCATGGATGCTGTTTTCTAATACAAAGCCAGCAGATCTGCCACGTGCTGGTAGTTGCTGTAGGTAAAGAGCTCTTTTCCCAGGGAAAATCCTCCTTCTCAGTGTCTTTCAAAGACTTAAATATGAAAAGCTGGCTCACAAGAGTACCTCACAAACCTCTTTAGGAAACAACTTAAAGATACCAGGATACAGACTTTGCATTCTCCTCTTTGTAGCATTGTGAAACAGCCAGGACATCAAATGACAAATATTTAAATTTCTTTTTAAAAAAGTCAATAAAAAAGAAAATGGTAAGAGAATGTAAGAGGACAAGATAATAACCAAGATGGCTAAGGACTCCCCACTACAACAGCATGTAGTTTCTTAGCCTGAGAGTAATGAGCAATGAAGTCCAGCATTGTGACAGGAGTAAACTTTAATATTATCCGTATGTCAAGTTGCAAAACACAATGCTTCAGTTATGCAAAAATTTTTTTAATGCACAGTCTTCACACCAATGAAAATTACCACCCTGACAATCATTTGTAAGAAAGAGTTTTTGGGAAACCGTCTGCATGGAAGTGTAGAAACATGTAACACATAGTGATATGATTGCATGTTGATACATTTCTCCTGAGCAAATGGTATTGATATAAATTTTATTAAAATATTACATTTAGAAGATAAATGGACTTATCCTGATAACTGACCTTCAAGGATTATTCCTTACCTGGATTAACTGCAATATTGAGAATTTCAGTGCCAGCCACACTTAAATAATAAAGAGTGCACATTAACTTATGCTTAAATCATGTTTTAATTAATTTAGAAAATTCAGAAAAATGAATTTGCATTCCTCACAAGTTTCTTCCCTCGTTATTTTCAAAACAAAAGATCATTCACATTTGCCAATATTATTTTTGACTTTCCATTGCTGTAGGTCAGCTTTCCGTGGCAGTAACTGCACTGCATAAGGAGTTTAAGAATTCAGAGCAGCAAGTAATCCCTACTGCTCTATTGATTTCTGAATGCCTGTGACTTAAGTGAAAGCTTGTCTGGAGTGACTGTCCATGAGAGTGAGTCTCAGACTTGATTCTTACATGTGTGGTATTTAAAGTGGAAATTAGTTTCCAGCATATTGGCGAGATGGTAATTTCAGGGGCTTCACCTTCTGCCATAATATCCCAACATGCAGGGATAAATGTAAAGGACAATGCAGCAAGATGTGCAGTATGAGGTAACAAAACTCCAGAGAGAAGGCAGCGTAGCAGTGAAGGAGAGCCGTGGCCTAAAACTATCAGAAATTTTCCTTGAAACAGTTTTTTACGCTGTATTTTCTAATCACAGAATTAAGAGTTACTACTGTGCTGTGGACCTCTGGCTGCTTCCAGACATGTGGTGGTGCTACTGCTTAAAGCAAGCCAGAGAAGCTTTTCTAAAGATCAATTTCATATTTTGCTCTTATAAAAATGCAAAGTCATCTTTGAAACAATAAAAAGCAGCCTTCCCCAATCTTATGTTAATTTTTTTTTCTTCTCATAATATACTAGTGCTGTTTATTGATTGTGTTTTATAATCAATGGCTCTATATGTAAGGCATTACATTAATTTCCAGAATATTTCCATTAACCATACAGTTCAGCACTTACACAGCTACTTTGCAGAGGTCACCACATCTATTGTCCAGAGAAGTAGTAGAAATTTTCTTTGTATCTGACAGCTACCCACTGGGATTTCTTTTTTTAAAAGCAAAATAATAATAATACTGAGTTCAGCATTTTAGTTAAAAGTTTCCCTTCACCTCCACTGAACAGAACTATAAAAAATGTTCTGATGTGTAATTTTAACTTCAGCTTTTAGTTGTTTATTGCAGCTGTGTTCTGCATATGGACATATTTCATTTTGTTCCAAGCTGCACAGAGGAAACTCGTCATGGCACCCCTCCTTTCAAACCTGATGAGAGCTGTGCAAATACTGGCCTCCACTCAAAGCTGCATCTGATGTTTCTGGCAGCAAGCACAGCAAATAGCACACATGGAGGAAGTAGGGAGGAGCACAAGCTAATACTTCTGAAACTTCACAGCACCAGGAAAAGATTTATGTTAAAACATCTCCTACATAATCCCACGGCTGTCAGAGGCATTTGGACGATGCTCTCAGTTACACACTTTAACATTTAGCTAGCCCTGAAGTGGTCAGGCAGTTGGACTACGTGATCTTTGCCAGTTCCTACCAACTGAACTATTCCATATAGTTAATAAATAATTATGAAACCCAGAATGTACAAGAGTAAAACAAATTAAAAAAAATTCTGGATTTTTATTGTCAGAAACTAGTGGTGATAGGGGAATTAAACTTGCTCAACTCCAAATCCTTGCAAGATGAATGGCCAGGACAAGTTTGAGATGGAGTAGCTCGTGTATCAGATACTCATACCAGTGGCAGAAAATAGAAAATTCAGCTGAAAACAACTTACTGGAAAAAATGAAAACCCTTTTCTGAAAGTGTATAATCAACAAATACACAGAGTGGTGTAGTTAGGCTGGTATCTATGGATTACAAAGCAAGAAATATTACAACACTGGAAAGGGATAATTGAAAATAAATGAAAATACTCACCCATGAACTAGGCTCACAGAAAAAACTCCAAGCAGAGGAATCTCCAGGAAGAAAACCTTCCAGAGGGCAGTCAGCCCTTAAATGGGGTCTAGGAGAGGTGCAGTCAGGCTCCACCCCTTCTGCTCACACAGCTGAATTGCCTTCACCTGTGCTCCCAGGGCTGACTCAGTGCTTGCCTCAGGTGGTCAAAGATTCAAGCCATGACTCAACAGTTCTCATACAGAAAGCAAGCTGAACTGATAGTATGTTAGGATGGTGTTGGTAATGCCTAGCAATAGATTTATCCACCTAAATGCAAAACATAGTTTTGCATGACTTCTATTTGAAGCATAAAGACAGCTTAGGGGAGGAAAAAGAAAAAAAGAAAAAAAAAAGCCTTCTGAATGGTGAGATCCATTTGATTATGGGATACTTTTCAAAGGGAAATGAAAATGTCATCACCTGACATTTCCAAAGCTGAGCTTTCAAATCCCGAGACAGTGCACAGGCAGGAGTGTTAAACAGAGCTGGTCACATCCCCATATACTCTGCATGTGTTTTGTGGAGGGCAATTAGTATCACTTCCTCTAACACTGGGCTTACTGTGCTTATCAGCAAATATGTCGAGTTTGGTTCCTTATGAGTCTCTGAAGATAGCCACCACAAGGTTTCTGACAGGACCTTTAGGTTGAAAAGTGAATCCTTCTTACTTGCACAATCTCAAACTCTGCCTCCCCCCACCCCCCCCAAAAAAAAACCTAAACCAAATCAAAGTGTAACTGAAGAAAACTTATGCAACGTTAAACCTATCCAAAGCCTTTTTTGGGAAGTTCTGGGGCTGCATTAGTTTAGTATTTCTCTCTTGGCCTTTCTTGGTGTACTGCACTGTTGCAGGGGCAGAACCTCTCTCCTTCCTGCAAACATATGGACAAATGCCATAGGGCATTACCTCAAGAACTGTAGCAACACCAACCTAATGCTGCTGTGCCCTAAGTCACCAGGTTGCTGGGAACGTAGCTTTCCCCGTCTGCAGCCCTTGGAGTATTCAAGAACCTCAGCAGGCTGCTTGGAGGGCAATCAGATGGATAGGTTAAAAAAAAAAAGTCAAAAGCAAACCAAAAAGGCTTTGGTTTTCACTTTCACAAGCCATCTACAGGAGTGAAGTAAGGCCACTCTGTGGAAGACTTCAAAGTCAATTATATCCATTTGTGGAAAGCTCAGAAATGCTGTCTGCCCCACAGCAAATGGGACTGGCCAAGAGCAGTGAGCCCTGTGTGTCCTTCACAGGCTTTGTAGAATTAAGTTGTCTTTCAGGCAATAGCTTGCTAGACCTTTTTTTTTTCTTTTTTTTTTCCCCCTCCCTCTTGATAGCAAGGTCTTAATGCAGTATCTGTTTACTACAATTCACCAAGAGGCACAATGTTCCTTGGCTTTTATCCAAACCATTTAGTTCACATACATATTGGAAAAAGCTGTCATGTCAGCAGCTGAGGTTGATATCAAGAGAGACAATAAGAGGATTAAGAGGTGGAAAGCTTTAGAATGCAAGCTACTGAATATTTCACAAGAAATGAAGCTAAGAGTGCTACTGATGCAAGGAGAAGGTCAGAAAGCTTAAATACCTCAGGGATGGTTAAGAAATAATAAAGTAGCCATTAGGCATTCATAGATGTTGATATGCAGTTTTTACAATCTCTGTTTTCATATCAACATGAGTATTTCACTGGGCGTACATCAGTGACATGCAGCACTTGCCAAGGGAATTTGCTGGGAGGTGTTTACAGCATCAAAACCCAGGAATGAACTGACATTTGAGAGTGCCTTTGAGGCTGATGCTTTGTCATTTAATTACTTGTTTTTATTAATGCCTGAGGTGTATGGAATTCCACTTTGTCAACTATGGGAGTTTGGTAAGAGAATTTAGTGTTTGATTTCACAAAGATTGACTCCTCATCATCCCTTTCTATATGATTCTCTAATGAAATGGTTAAGTGGATCTTCATATACCACCATCAAACCACAAAGACTGAGGGCACAAGGGACAGTGGAAGCATTTTACAGGGCATTACAAATATTTGGCAGCAAATAGACCAGACACAGACAAGCCCAGGTGTTTTCTGTTGCCTTCTCAATGACAAGAGGCAAGGCACAGCAGGAATCTCTCTTTAATTGCTTCATGCTACACTTCAATAATCTCACCTATAAATGTCAAGACATAGCTTGCCAATGGGCAATTCAAAGAACATTACTTTCTTGCAAAGCAGAGAATGACTTAAGTATTACATTACCCTTTAACTTACAAGTAAGACTGAAATTATCCTTCCTTCCCTCCCATCTCCAGCCTACCAGGGAGGATTTAACAGACATGATGATAAATTTTATATCCTTATGTCTCTGAGCTCACGAAGCGCATTGATGAATTAATGCATTGTCAACATATAATTCCTGTTACGCTGTGTTTTTATGGCACGTTTTACTTCATGACTTTCTGGAAACTTTTGCAAGAAATTTCTTCCCAGAATCCTGTTTAAGCAAAGATATTGTGCTACAAAATGTAAAACAAAAATACCTTTTCTATTTCTCTTGATCTACTATTCCAGTCTTGCATCCAGGTGTGCTTTAATAACTCTTGAATTATAAAGAATAACTTTCTAGCCCTCATTTCTTTTTGCCTTAGGAATAGTAACTTGCTCTTTGATTAAAAAAAAAGTCTAGAATTAAACCGGGAACTACTATCTGCTGTTTTTTTCCTTTACTTAAAAGTAATTACATTAAAAAATTATTTTCCTGTGTACAACTACTGAACTAGCATGGCTTTACATTGTGAAGTAACTTTAGCTAACAAGTTGTTTACAATGTGATTTCTCTTTTATTCTTGATAGTTTTTTTAAAGTTAGTTCATAGCATACTAAAAAAACCAAAATGCAATACAAGAAATCTGCATGCAAAATAAAAGTTTTACAGGCATATACTCTTTGTTCATAGGAGAGGGTAAATGCACTGTCAGCCAAGACTGCTTCTTGGAGTAACTGGGCTAACAGGACAAGTTTAATCAACATCAACTAGCCACTAAAAACTGGGTCTTCTGCACACTAGTTGAAATGGCTGGTGGATTATTATTATTATTTTTTTTTTTTTTCACGGAACAATCAGTTTAAACAGATTACTCTTAAAGGAAAATGCCTTTTTTTTTTTCTTTTTTTTTTTTTTCCAAAAGTAACATGGCAGTTGCATGTTACAAGTTTTTTACATTTAGAAGCATTAGATCTAGGCTATGGTTCACTGATTAACATGAGAAAGAATCTTACAATAAAGAGGGGCATAGAGATCAAGACACGAGGCTCAGAGACTTCAACCTATGTCTTCATCATGGCAACTCACGTTTAGATAGCCTACCAGTTTTAGCACTGTTAATTGCTTTATTTCTACCAAGCAATCACACAAATCACTGTACCAGTTTGGCATTTACTTTTCTAAGCTTTGAGACACAGTGAATGTTTCCAGTGTTTTCTATACATCAGTCATTGTTGCAGTAGGGAAAGGTACCCAATAATGTAATTTTGGCTCAACAGAACACTTTTTCTCATAAGCAAACAATAATAAAAATTGGAAAAAAAACAAAAAACAAACAAAAAAAAACCCTCTTCGTTCTGCTCCATTCAGATTGTGCTAGATAAACCATTTCCACTTTTAAAGAAAGTGGATAAAGTTTGTCAAAGCTTTTACCAGATAGCTGGGAGAGAATAGCTTGTTCATTCAGTCACTGATTATTCCACAGAAATGAAAGCCATTTTTTTCTTAAAAGCATAATATTTACCAGATATCATCAAACATCTCAGCGCTTGCTCTGAAACCATGAGTAGAGCTGAAACAAATGGGTCTCTTCCTAAGAAATAGAAGCATATAGCAGTAGTAAATCAAATAAATGTGCAGTGCTAATGAACATGAGCAGTACCTCAGATTCAGGCATATGGGAACAGATGAAAGCAGTGTTGTCTGATGATTCAACTGTAACACATACATAATTATGAAGGGTTCTGTTAAGGACTTCTAAGCAGCAAAATGCTGATCAAGACATCTACACCCCTTTCTTCATTACTTTTTAATCTTTTCTTCGTATGTATTCGGTACATTTATTTCCAACATTTTAAGCGACATTGTAATTATCAGGGCTGTTTGCCACTAAATTAATAAAGCTATTGTATATTTTTTAAATCTAGTAAAATAAATAAATAAATAGTGGTGATAATACAGTGCAACAATGAAAAGCTGGAGCTAAGCAGATGTATTTTTGTAATTACTGAGATCAAGCCTGGTTTTATACCTGTGCATCTCCTTTACTCGTGCCTCTATCTGTGTCTCACCACTGTAATGAGATTTAAAACCAGGTCTTATCTTCCAAGTGTACATAAGGATCAATTCGTCCCACATTCAGCAGCAGCAGGTGACAAGAGGATCGACGCCAGATGAACAGATGGACTTCACAGAACAAGGATTGAACTTGAATGTGTTAAATACACCTGTGGCATAAGTCACAGCAATAATGGTTAATTCCCACTGCAGTCTGTCAGAGCGCTAAAAATGCTCCACAGATTGCTCCAGTTGTAGAATTTTTCATATTTCTCATCTGGACACTAACTGTAAGGTTTTATGACAGGACTATGAGATTTCAGGCTACAGTTAGAAGCTCAGTCCTATATGTCAAGTTCATTTCTTTTGGCTGTACGTTATTCAGCTTTTAAGAAGAGGTAATAAAAATCGACTTTACCACAAGTTGAAACGTGTTTGTTTATAGACATTAAAATTGCTGCACTACATAAGTAGGAAGGGGATGACAGCACAAGATGCTACCAGCAGCTTTATTGGTTTAATTGAGAAATGGTGTGCACACACTCTCCTTCCGTGGTAGAGGAAACAGAGTCACCAGGTCCTGCTCTGACTAGATCAGCCTTGCTTCATAAGCAGTGCTTTAAATCCATGCAGGGTTGGCAACAACATAGATTAATTTCTGGAAGAAAGGGAACTTAAAGGATTCTGCATTTCAAACTGCTTTAAGTT